GTTATCAATGCAGGTGAGCTCCACGAACTTAGCACAATCTATGCTTCGCATTGAGGTTAATGATATAGGCACCAGACCTGTTGGTGGTTATCGCAAGCCACTTCAAGTGCTGATAAAGGTAATGGAAAAGTGCCAATTATTAGTCTGCAATATTTCAAGTTCATTTAAAAGAGAAAGCATTTAAAATATTAATTCCTTGTAGTTTTTCATATCATTTCATGGGATTCTGAAGAAGCATCTTAGACAGCTTCCACAGTAAACTATTTACAGGCAACTGTCATGTTAGATTGTACAATATCTCCAAGCTATTCTTGGGCTGGGAAATTAATGATAATTTTGGCACCCCATGTGTTGAAAGTCTGTCTGTATTTGAGATTGTTACATAACAGGAAATGGTTTGCGAGGAGGAGAAACAGTGGTGCTTCTCTACACAAATGTATATGTATGTACCAGTCCACCCCCACAAGATCCTCATTTGAACTAAGGACTGTTTATGCTGACTTCCTTTGTGTAGAGAAGCATCATTAATCACACGAAAATAATTAACATCATTTGGCTGAGGCATTCTAACACATCCTGTTGTTTTGGTGTGCAGTTGTCCCTCCATCAGGTCTGCAGCATGCACATGGGCAAATTATTATGTCGTGGAAGGATGCGATGGCTGTAGCTAGGTGTAGAAATCTCTCGCCAACGTTTGATGTTGGATCGGTTACACATCGAAATGTCACTGGATGATTTCTGAATTTAAAAACTCCCTGCATGAACTTTTAGAAATTCATTTGTTTAGATCACAGTTTTTGTCGCTTCTTGGGGTAAAATGTTTGAAATGATGAGATTTTGGCAAATGTGCTCCATATCTGTCAGCCAGTGGCATGTGAATCATTTATAACAGTGAACACTGGGCATCTAAAGGCTTTTCACACTTACGAAAATTAAGCTGGAGACGTAGAGACAATTAAAGTGGGGCTAATTGCCTGAAAATTTTCAATCTCTGTGGTGAAAATCAATGCGGGGTGAATATTTCTCCTGACAGATTATTGCAGAGAACACTCTCGCACCTCTGTTAATTAACGAGCTCGGTGACGGATGCATACTTAGCGCGTTGGGCAGGTTAATTAGGTGTAAATTGAAATTGGAAAAATGTCAGTCTACCAAATGAATTTTTGTGTGCCCATCTGAGCTCCCGGTATCTGTCGAACCATTATTTGCACCAGGCAGCTAAAAACAGCTGGTTCGAAGAGGGGATGAAGATTAATTTTTTACAATGATCAACTGTTTCTTCATTTACGAGACCTAACGCTTTGGTTTTTGAGGGCTCTAATGTGTTTGTACGACCTACGTCTAATGTAGCGTACATTTCCCCGTTGGTCATTAACGCAAGGCGCTTTCACCATTTCCACAGAGACCCTGCTGACGATTTTAAATTTGCAAATTATGCAAATGAGCAATGATTCTTTTCATTTTTGTTGTGAATTTTCCCGGTGATGTCATGCAAATATGCATGAATAATTATAACCTTCCTGAAATTCAGTTATACTGTTGTTTCAAAGGGGACTAGAAATTGAATATCACAGATTTTGTATCAATGGAAAACGTTTGTCGTAAATTCGTTTTTCTTTGAGGCCATTCCCTTGTTGATTGAAATTGAAATGTCTGTTTAACAATTACATATTTCTCATTTGTTTCTGTCTGTTAGATTTGATTTATCAAATTTGGCGATACATTTTACATAAACAACATCCAATTACTATGCAAATTTCTATCTGTGCTGCACAATTAAAATTGGATCATAAGTTTTAAATTGAAATGTCGGAAAGTGTGTGAGGTTTTGAAAGAGTAATCGCAGTGAAGTCTCAATTTAATTCCACCGAGATTACTGTTCTGTGAACATTTGCAATGAATCTAAAAACAATCAAAGTTCACCTTCCAGTTCTGTTCTTTGATTAGGAAGACAAGATTAAAAACATTTGTCTCCATAGTGTGTGTTTCACATTTGTCAGTGTTAACAACATCTACGTCTGGCAGTTTTTTTATGCACTCAATAGTTTTAGCTTAATATGTCTTACAGTGAGGTATAGTCTTGCTGTACCTTGTCTCTGCTTGTTGAATATGTAGGTTGTAGAGGTATTGTTTCTGCGCTTGTTGGTCACTTCTTCAGCAGGAATTATATAATGCCAACTTCAACAAGGCACCAGGCTTATTGGATTAGCTCTTCCATCAGAGTACTGTGAAGTATTGTTTCAACTGTATACACAATACTTTCATTAGATATCCAGTATGGCTACATGGATCATGCTAAAGAATAACTCTCATTTACCACATCTCTATGTGCAGACAGTAGACACATCTATATGTAGAGACAGTAGACACACCTCTATGTACAGACAGTAGACACATCTCTATGTACAGACACTAGACACATCTCTATGTACAGACAGTAGACACATCTCTATGTACAGACTGTAGACACATCTCTACGTACAGACTGTAGACACATCTCTATGTACAGACTGTAGACACATCTCTATGTACAGACTGTAGACACATCTCTATGTACAGACACTAGACACATCTGTATGTACAGACAGTAGACACATCTCTATGTACAGACAGTAGACACATCTCTATGTGCAGACAGTAGACACATCTCTATGTGCAGACAGTAGACACATCTCTATGTACAGACACTAGACACATCTCTATGTACAGACACTAGACACATCTCTATGTACAGACTGTAGACACATCTCTATGTACAGACAGTAGACACATCTCTATGTACAGACTGTAGACACATCTCTATGTACAGACACTAGACACATCTCTATGTACAGACACTAGACAGATCTGTATGTACAGACAGTAGACACATCTCTATGTACAGACAGTAGACATATCTCTATGTACAGACAGTAGACACATCTCTATGTACAGACACTAGACACATCTCTATGTACTGACACTAGACACATCTCTATGTACAGACTGTAGACAACACCTCTATGTACAGACAGTAGACACATCTCTATGTACAGACTGTAGACACATCTCTATGTACAGACACTAGACACATCTCTATGTACTGACATTAGACACATCTCTATGTACAGACTGTAGACAACACCTCTATGTACAGACAGTAGACACATATTTATGTGCAGACAGTAGACACATCTCTATGTGCAGACAGTAGACACATCTCTATGTGCAGACAGTAGACACATCTCTATGTGCAGACACTAGACACATCTCTATGTACAGGCAGTAGACACATCTCTGTGTACAGACACTAGACACATCTCTATGTACAGACAGTAGACACATCTCTATGTACAGACTGTAGACACATCTCTATGTACAGACAGTGGACACATCTCTATGTACAGACAGTAGACACATCTCTATGTACACTCTAGATTCACCTCTATGTACAGACTGTAGACACACCTCTATGTACAGACAGTAGACACATCTCTATGTACAGACACTAGACACATCTCTATGTACAGACTGTACACACATCTCTATGTACAGACAGTAGACACATCTCTATGTGCAGACTGTACACACATCTCTATGTACAGACACTAGACACATCTCTATGTACAGACTGTAGACAAACCTCTATGTACAGACACTAGACACATCTCTATGTACAGACTGTAGACACATCTCTATGTACAGACTGTAGACACATCTCTATGTACAGACTGTAGACACATCTCTATGTACAGACACTAGACACATCTCTATGTGCAGACACTAGACACACCTCTATGTACAGACACTAGACACATCTCTATGTACAGACACTAGACACATCTCTAATGTACAGACACTAGACACATCTCTATGCACAGACACTAGACACATCTCTATGTACAGACAGTAGACACATCTCTATGTACAGACAGTAGACACATCTCTATGTACAGACACTAGACACATCTCTATGTACAGACAGTAGACACATCTCTATGTACACACTGTAGACACATCTCTATGTACAGACTGTAGACACATCTCTATGTACAGACAGTAGACACATCTCTATGTACAGACAGTAGACACATCTCTATGTGCAGACAGTAGACACATCTCTATGTACTGACACTAGACACATCTCTATGTACAGACAGTAGACACATCTCTCTGTGCAGACAGTAGACACATCTCTATGTGCAGACAGTAGACACATCTGTATGTACAGACAGTAGACACATCTCTATGTACAGAATGTAGACACATCTCTATGTACAGACAGTAGACACATCTCTATGTACAGACACTAGACACATCTCTATGTGCAGACACTAGACACACCTCTATGTACAGACACTAGACACATCTCTATGTACAGACACTAGACACATCTCTAATGTACAGACACTAGACACATCTCTATGCACAGACACTAGACACATCTCTATGTACAGACAGTAGACACATCTCTATGTACAGACAGTAGACACATCTCTATGTACAGACACTAGACACATCTCTATGTACAGACAGTAGACACATCTCTATGTACACACTGTAGACACATCTCTATGTACAGACTGTAGACACATCTCTATGTACAGACAGTAGACACATCTCTATGTACAGACAGTAGACACATCTCTATGTGCAGACAGTAGACACATCTCTATGTACTGACACTAGACACATCTCTATGTACAGACAGTAGACACATCTCTCTGTGCAGACAGTAGACACATCTCTATGTGCAGACAGTAGACACATCTGTATGTACAGACAGTAGACACATCTCTATGTACAGAATGTAGACACATCTCTATGTACAGACAGTAGACACATCTCTATGTACAGACAGTAGACACATCTCTATGTACAGACAGTAGACACATCTCTATGTGCAGACAGTAAACCGCTTGCACTGTTACTTGGCTCGCTTGTCAGGGACACAGTTATCATAAGCTGTAGAACATTAGCACAGATAACATCAGACTCATTCACTTTCTTTTTGTTTTCAGGATTGGACTTGAACAAGAAAGTCCCTGGGAAAATGACTGATTCCCAGGAATGGAAAAATCCACATTTGTACAAACTGTTAATTAATAAATGTGTCCTAATGTCAGCTTTGTCAGATGACGAAACAGACAAGTCTGGCATCACCTAATTCTGTTTATGCTGTCAGCTGATTCCTGCACAGACGTGGCTGTCCTTGATCACAGAGAGGGAGACTGGAGTCTCTGACTGGGGATATCATCCTGGTTGTGAATACCCAACTAAGTAGATTTGTCAGATTATGACATAGACAAATGTTCTCTCTGTTACATCCCTTAACCTGCAGCTGACTGTAAGTGGGAAACATACATGTCGACAGCAGGGAAATATACAGCAAACAGTGAGTGGCTATGCTGGTTAGATTGTTCATTTACAGCCACCATTCAAGATGAAACAGACTGACCCAAGACATTATAAACCTATTGGGTAAGCATTTCCTTTATAAGATTGTGAAAAGATGCACCTGTGGGTTATTGTGAATTACCACTGTAGTGTGGACTTGCCCAAGTTTGCTTAGCTGCCATATAGGCCAGGGTTTAGTTTCCTGGTGGCAAGCAAGTTGCCCTGTATACTCTAGGCCAGGGTTTTATTTCCTGGTAGCGAGTGTGTTGCCCTGTATACTCTAGGCCAGGGTTTAATTTCCTGGTGGCAAGCATGTTTCCCTATACACTATAGGCCAAGGTTTAATTTCCTGGTAGTGAGTATGTTGCCCTATATACTCTAGGCCAGGGTTTTATTTCCAGGTGGCAAGCATGTTGCCCTGTACAATATAGGCCAAGGTTTAATTTCCTGGTAGCAAGTGTGCTGCCCAGTACACTATAGGCCAAGGTTTAATTTCCTGGTGGCAAGTGTGTTGCCCTGTATACTCTTGGCCAAGGTTTAATTTCCTGGTGGCAAGCATGTTGCCCTATATACTCTTGGCCAGGGTTTAATTTCCTGGTGGCAAGCATGTTGCCCTATATACTCTTGGCCAGGGTTTAATTTCCTGCTGGCAAGCATGTTGCCCTGTACAATATAGGCCAAGGTTTAATTTCCTGGTAGCAAGTGTGCTGCCCAGTACACTATAGGCCAAGGTTTAATTTCCTGGTGGCAAGTGTGTTGCCCTGTATACTCTTGACCAGGGTTTAATTTCCTGGTGGCAAGCATGTTGCCCTGTATACTCTTGGCCAAGGTTTAATTTCCTGTTGGCAAGCATGTTGCCCTATATACTCTTGGCCAGGGTTTAATTTCCTGGTGGCAAGCATGTTTCCCTGTATACTCTTGGCCACGGTTTAATTTCCTGGTGGCAAGCATGTTGCCCTGTATACTCTTGGCCAAGGTTTAATTTCCTGTTGGCAAGCATGTTGCCCTATATACTCTTGGCCAGGGTTTAATTTCCTGGTGGCAAGCATGTTTCCCAGTATACTCTTGGCCAGGGTTTAATTTCCTGTTGGCTAGCATGTTGCCCTGTATACTCTTGACCAAGGTTTAATTTCCTGGTGGCAAGTGTGTTGCCCTGTATACTCTTGGCCAAGGTTTAATTTCCTGGTGGCAAGCATGTTTCCCTGTATACTCTAAGCCAGGGTTTAATTTCCTGGTGGCAAGCATGTTGCCCTGTATACTCTTGGCCAGGGTTTAATTTCCTGGTAGCAAGTGTGCTGCCCAGTAAACTATAGGCCAAGGTTTCATTTCCTGGGGGCAAGCATGTTGCCCTGTATACTCTTGGCCAGGGTTTAATTTCCTGGTGTCAAGCATGTTGCCCTGTATACTCTTGGCCAGGGTTTAATTTCCTGGTGGCAAGCGTGTTGCCCTGTACAATATAGGCCAAGGTTTAATTTCCTGGTGGCAAGCATGTTGCCCTATATACTCTAAGCCAGGGTTTAATTTCCTGGTGGCAAGTGTGTTGCCCTATATACTCTTAGCCAAGGTTTAATTTCCTGGTGGCAAGCATGTTGGCCTATATACTCTTGGCCAGGGTTTAATTTCCTGGTGGCAAGCATGTTGAAGACCCGGGTAGAATAGGTCTTCAGGAAACCATGCTTGATATAAGAGGAAACTAAACAGCATCAGGTGGTCAGGCTCATTGTTTCCCAATTGTATGGATCGATGCTCATGAAGTCAGACACTGGTTTGTCTGGTTCAGACTTGATTATTTACAGAGTCCCGTCATGTAGCTGGAATGTTGCTGAGTGCGGCGTTAAACAACAAACAAAACAAAACGTGTTGCCCTGTACACTATAGGCCAAGATTTAATTTAATGGTGGCAAGCATGTTGACCTATACACTATAAGCCTGGGTTTAGTTTCCTGGTAGCAAACGTGTTTCCCAGTACTCACAATGTTGGAAATTGTATGATATCGATTGTTGGTTTCTTCAACTATGACATTGTAGACAAGTATTTATTAGGTCTGACCAGACATCCCATTTCTCCCTCTGCAATGTACCCTTTTTGAAGCCTTAAAGCCAACCAGACATCCATTCTTACTTGCCACCTGTACACCCACTGCACTCAAGATAAACAGACATCCATTCTTACTTGCCACCTGTACACCCACTGCACTCAAGATAAACAGACATCCATTCTTACTTGCCACCTGTACACCCACTGCACTCAAGATAAACAGACATCCATTCTTACTTGCCACCTGTACACCCACTGCACTCAAGATAAACAGACATCCATTCTTACTTGCCACCTGTACACCCACTGCACTCAAGATAAACAGACATCCATTCTTTCTTGCCACCTGCATGTACACCCACTGCACTCAAGATAAACAGACATCCATTCTTACTTGCCACTGAAATCTTCAAGATAAAAAAACATCCTTTTCTTAATTGCCACTTGTACACCAACTTAAGTCTTGAAGGTGAACAGCAATCCATTTTTTGTCTTGAATTGTGTTCAAATTGATATGACAAAGCCTCTAATTTAATGAACCAACATTGAGGTATTGGAAGCATGCCAGACATGTTTCTGTTTCTAGCCATTTTTACCTCAACTGAAATTTTGAAGAATGCAAAACATCCATCTTCTTAAAGAAGTATGTGTGCCTAAATAGCTTGAGCACAATGTCTTGGGTTAGTGAATAAGTGGTATATCTTATTCCTAATGTGTATAATCTCTTCTGTTTCTTGAAATGAGAGCCCCGGTGTGACATTACAGGTGGTTGATGTAAGATCAGTATGTTATGTGATGGTCACGTGACAGCCATGTGACTCACCTAGAACTTTTTATTATACATTTGTTGGTGGTCATTTTGTGTTGATTGGATTGTGAATGTATTGGTGTGAAATATGATCAGTTTGATGATTGTTGAGCATTAGATGATGCCACCATGTATCAAGTGGCAGTCTCATGATATACCACATGTCGATGGAATAGAGATGCACTGCCATTTGCCAAGGAACCAACTTAATGTCCAGATCACAGTGCTATCAATGTCACAGGACTACCAGGATCATGATAGTTGTGGTTTTCTGTGTCTGCTTGTGGTCTAATTTCAGGCATCACAGGGCCATCATGTGATGTAATGCTGGAACATCAAAACATTTCTGTGTTTCTCTATTGGACTTCAGACAGTTGAACTCACAGGTCATGTGACTGCACATGAAGTCATGTGAGTGTCATATGACACACCAGAACTGGAAATTTCTGTCACACAGGGTATGATTGTTCTAGCTGTATGTACATACTTCTCGGTGTACCTTGTCTTTCATGTGTGTAGAAGTCAGGCAAAAACACTAGGTGGTGATTCCTGTTACCTAACTCATGAGTCAACAACATCGTCTTTAAATGTTAATCCAGAAAGACACTATTTTCAGCAATTGGATCCATCATTCATATATTTAATTGAAAGGTTTTCTAAAATGTTGAATGCACAAGATGGGTAATCAGAACCACAGCATATGTTTGAGCCTTAAATGTGTTAGGTGCCATGCAAAGGAATTGTTTCCTTGCTTCACATACATACGTGAATGAATATGTTTTGTTGTATTTTGGCCAACTATGTGTAATAATTTTGGACATCACAATTAAGGTCACTCATATGTAGTACTTCAATATGTTTGAAAACCAAAGAATGATTCATGGTGCATTATCGTGTCACAACAACCCCTCGTGAGGAAATGCTGGAAACTGATGAGTGACAGTTTGTGGCTGATCTTTGTCCATGGTACATCTTGAGTGTCATCACTATGATGCCAGCTGACACACAGGAACCTTTGTAACATCACTGATACATGCAATGTTGATACCACAGTTTACTAAATAGATCCGATACCTTACCCCCTCAGTTTCTATTGTAATGTTAGATTTGTTAGACAGGGTCTGTACTTACTCTTGCAATCAAAATTACCGGTAAGCTGTGTTATTTTTTATGTTGTTATTTGAAGTAGTTATAAACCATATTCAAGATCTGTAATCCTATCCTTTCTATTTAAAGAACAGCAAGTGTTTGAAATGCTTTGTTTTATGCCAAAAAGTGTTTGGTTTTATACCTTTTTGGCATTTACTTGGAATGTGGGTGTTTATGCCTTCATCAATAATGATTCAAAAGGACTTTTTATACAATTATTATCATTATTATCTTTTATGGATATTTTTTTACATTTTCAGAGCTAAGATATGAAACAGTAAATATTAGGGACCAGTTCAAAAGTTTGATTTCAGATAAAAAGATATAATTCTGTAAGTTTTGGCGCATACACCATATAGATTAAATCTGCCATTCTGTATTACACACTGCACTGGATGGACTTACCACTATTGCTGGCCACAATAAAACTCTACCTAGTGGAAGACTGCCTGTATTTATGACAACTCCTAACAGCATATGGAGGAAAATAAGATTGGTTTAGTGTAGTTCCCATATGAGACCAAGAGAAATCAGGTAAGTTGATTTTGTCATATTTAAAACTTGCAGGGCCATTAACCCCCCACCCCTAAGCTTATGGATTTAAGATTTTTATCTGACATCAAACTTTTGAACTGGTCCCTTAATGGACTAATATTTAGATCATATAAGTTATATTTCTAGATAGTTTAACGCAAAAACGTAATTCATCTAGAAATACACTTAATATAGAATAACACTATATAACATTAAGTTAGTGGAATAGTAATCATAAATAAACATATCCCTTGGATTTGAACTCAAGTGTTCATGCATATAATGGTGTCCTGTGTAATTTATGCATTTATTAATGTATTGTCTTTACATATATATGCCTACATATATGTGCCTACATTCATGCTGAAATATGGTGTTTTATAGTGTATGTTATATATATTGTTCACTATGTCTCTGTATTCTTTCCGCTATGTGTAAAATGTTCATACAGGAGTGTTCGATAGTTCTGATAATCTGAATCCACTGATGATCATGACATGCAATGAGCACTCTTTGGAAGAGACAACCATTTTGTTTATCATGTTCTCCACAATAATCTGCCCGGTATAAATGTGCTCGCTTCTTATAACTACTTTGTGTATTTGCAGATGCATATGTATTAGTTCTCAAATAGGTGCAGATTAGATGACATTCTTCTCTACTGGCTTAAAGGTTTGTGTATTGATGAATATGTGTTTCTCTTTGGGTATAGATATCCTGATACCCAATATTGCTCATGAGGGACATAATACATCAGAGTAAGCATGATCCTATCTTCAAGTCAGGTATGCATACTTCATAGCTGCAGGTTGTTAAATGAATCCTAATCAAGATTATAATCAAAATCTGATATATGCAACGTTTATATGTGAAGCTGTAAGCCGTTGAAATGATTATGTTGGATCAAGATACCTATATTATTGATTAAGCTGATTCATTAAATTCTGTCTTGGTTATCAGATCTGTGATTTGACTGAACATTATTGAATCAGGATGTGAAGCGGATTTTTCCATAGACTCTTGTGACCTGTTGAAGTCTGGATTGACTAATAACATGTCAAAAATGACAATGAACTTTCTTACTGGTTGCCACGATGGAACAGTTGAAAGTTACATGTGCATCAATAAAACAAGGGCAGTAATGTCATGTCTACCAAACTGGCAAAGACAAACACAATTTTAAAAGCATACAACTGTTAAGTATCTTTATTTAAACTTTCCGAGTGAAGATGTCTGTGTTCTGATTAGCTAAGTTTAAAAGACTAGCTCATTGAGCTATTTATGGCGTAACTATTTCAAAACACCCTTAGATATTGGTAAACGTTTTTGGTAACTGTTTCATATACCTGTGTTTGTACAAATCAGTTATCCAACTGGATAGACTTCCAGTGGTTTGGTTCATTTTCTTGAGCATGATTCATCCCAGTTGGTAAATTAATAAGACATTATTTGTGCTGATTCAATGAAGGTGAGCTACTGAGTCCATGGTTGTAATCTTGTATGTTCAATCTTAAAGTATTAAAGCTAGAATAAGGAAAGATTCATGTGGTGATCATCACATCTGAAATATTCTGACTTTTCTTGAGTTTATATCTTAAGTTTTGAGTAATGTCAGATATTTTTTTTCCAGTTATTCAACAGTAGGACATTGCATTGTTTTCCTCTGGCTTTAGTTGTGTATGTACTTTTAAAGTTATAGTAGTGTATAAATAATGTGAAATAATAAGCTGAAATGCATGTGTTAGAAACTGTAGATGGTTTACTACTTCTTACTGTGTGGTTTGTTCCTATTGACCATGGCTAGTTTGTCCTGCAGCGGTGTTCTCAACAAACCATTTGATGGAACCAATACATATGCATGTGCTGCTAAATAACACATATGAACTACACCCAGTATGCTTATAGAACATGGTTATCTGCAATATGTTGCTAATACTGTAACTCCAGTATCAATACTCATACTGCAAGTATATTATATATATGATCATAACTTTTCTTCTGTGTTAAAATGCACATTCCATATATATTGTGTAACTAACCCTAGGCCATGACACACTTTCCTCAACAAATTCAACAAATTATCTAATTTATGTAGCTTTGCTTCTGTAGATTTTCCCTGTGAATGGCTGGCATGACTTTTTTAGGCCTGTTCAATTGACTTGAATGATACAGAGTAATGACAAACTGTGCCATGTGATACTCCCTGCCTGTGCTGTATAACATCCCTAGGTCTGTGCTCTGTCACTCAGCAGCATTAGGATCACAGTCAACATGGGCACTGTGTATCCTCCTCTCATGTTGCTAGGACCAGTCCACCTAAAAATATCAGTCTTGAACTTTTTCCTGTAAATATTTTTGAAAACTTCAGTGATGGTGTTTTTTACATGGATTTACAATCTCTTTTATCCTAAGGAAAAACTGCAAATGATTATAGAAAAGTAAGTTTCTTGTATTTTGAAAAATTGGCATGGCTGTGATATGTAGATTACTTGCATCTCCATCAAAGTTAACGGAGTCCTGTGTCTTGCTAAATGACTAGGGTATGTAAATGTTGTATTATCAGTACACAATGACAATTATAAGTCATAAACTTGAGGTTATTATGAAAATCAATATTATGAAAATGTGACATGCTTAAACATTATATATATTCATTTAGACAATTAAAATAAACAAAGACATATTACTTGCCCAAAATAGACAAACACATATATAAATGCTCAACAATAAACAAACAGGTATATTACTTGTCCAACAGTCAACAAACACTTATTTGCCCAACAATACACAACACATATTTCTTGCCTAACAATAAATTAATACATATAGCAGTGCCCAACAATATACAGACACATATATTAATTGCCCAAAAATATCATTTTTATTTCATAATTATTTTCCTGTACTCTCAAAATGCTATGTGTTTTCTTAAATTGACTTTAATTTGTATACATTTGTTCACTTTCTTTCAACAAGTTTGTTTTTATTATTTGCATACTTAGTTTTGGACACATATTACTAAGTTACAGCTTTCACTGCATTCCACCAAGACTTTATAGGATTTACTGTGTGGTTATCTTGAAGCAATATGGACAGTCTATGTTGTCAACTTGTCACACTTTATAGCTAGAACCACCTTGATGTTAGGAATTAAACATTTCCACAACTTGCTTACTAATTTGACCAGCTGCTGTCTGTTATATTCTCCTACATTTCAAGGCAGGATTTTCACTCCATAAAAATGGATGAGCTCAAGTTCAAATGTAGGTTAGAAATGGATTCCTCTTTCACAATGTCCAGTATGTAACTACCTGCTATTATTTCTATTCTATCAACTGTCATTGCTAGATAGAGTAAGATTTATAGCTTTGTATTTTTGTATACCTACCTGTATTTGGAGCAAGGTGTATTCATTATTTTCCTAGGAATCATTTACCTGAGGTGCTAGTTGTAGGGCATAGGGCACGTGACATTCTTGACACTTTCTACATGTAGGCACAGATATCACATCCTTCTGTTTTTGTAGACTGGTGGTGAAAACAGGAATGTTTTCATATGTTTTCTGAGCAAATCAAATAATAACACTGATAGCTTCCTGAGCTGAGATGAGTCAAAACTGAAATACATGTATTCTTGGAACTGTTACCATTACATTTAAAATAGACTTTGGATTTGAGTATGATCTTTTTAGTTTAAATTTATAAGTTTATTCATCCAAGTCAAAACTAGAATTTAACAAATGACCTTCAATATTTTTATTGATTTTTTAAAAATAACTAAATGAACATTTAGGAAAGTTTTGAATTAACAAAATCATAACTGATTTAAAATTTAAAAAAACGTTTGTCTGAATAACTTCCTATTTTATATATGGATTTACCAGAGTAACTTCAAGAGAGGAATCATCTATCACCTTGAGATGAATTGTTTCATATTGATTTTACTGTCATTTGACGGAGTGTATCTGTTAAGTTTAAATGTTTTGCCACTGTCGCTATGATACAGCAGTGTTGTGTGCATTGCGATCTCACTAGCCAATGTGATACTTCTGCTTTTTATGATATATATATATATATTATATGTACATTTGTGTGCATTTAGCCTCACATCAGACTAGTCTTCTCACTGTGTTGTCTTTGCTGTTATTCACTGTTGGATATTATGTTATGTTTTGTGAATCTCCAAGACAAAATCTATTTTTCTGCTTAATTCGGATGTTTTCACTGCTTCTTATTAGTTTGTTACTTGTGCCAATAAAAAATGATGGTACCACCAATCAAAGAATGTGTTTGTTTTTTTATCAGGTCACTTAAAACTTCAAGTTGAAGGTGTCTTTGGATGTCATATATGTCATATATGTCATATATCACTGGGCAAGAAAGCCAGGGTCCAGGGTGGCCAGGACATTCGCTATGCAGAGTTGCATCCCTTAGGTGTGCCAGAATCCTATGATCATTGGTTCAAATCCGAGGTTCGCCCTCTTTATGTTTCTGTGTTTGTCAGAACAAGCATCATTCGGGCTTTCCTCCCACATCAAGCTGACATGCCCTGATATAACTGAAATATTGTTCGAAGTGGGGTTAAACTAAACTCATTCACTTACTCAAAAAAAACTTTTTTTTCAAGTCATCTGAAAATAGTTTTATCAATGAAGTTAATGTTTATTTAAGGATATGCCTTTGGGTGCATAGGAATGTTTGTATTATGCTGGGCCCATCTACACATGTTTTTTTATGACATGAATTAAAAAATAACTCGGAAAGGGTGCTAATATTAAGGTTGTTCATCCATTGATCCTAGTGTTGGAGTATGTCCGCAATACTAATCAAGACTTCCATTATTATTCTTTACAAAGCTACTGGAAATATGCGGAAGACACACTCCCTTATGATATAGCTAGTCCTTCCAATACTGTTCACTTCAATAAAACCTATGTTAGATCATTTGATATGACACATTCGAGGCATTTTCTAACATGATGCGAACATGATACTAAGCCTAATATTTAGTCGACAGATTAACTTCTTTGTTTAAAATAATTTCGGTTTTCAGAGCTGTCCGCAGGAATGTCCGGTGGTGTTAAGTGACTCATTTGCTTCTCCAGACAGATCATACTGACTGTTGATCATACAACTTTGAACAATCTAAATAGGCTAGACGCAGCCATCGGAACCAGTCACTGTTCCAGCCATCAGTGGATAGGTTAGCTCTGTGTCACCACAACAGCAAAAGAAACGTGGAGGCATCATATGGATCTTTTCTGAAATGGGATAAGTGATTCAATAGTTATCCGTAGGTTCGCTCATTGGTCTACTTTTAATGTCAATGATATTTGTTGTTTTAGGGCTAAGTTTATAATATAGTACAACAGGGACTGAACGACAAGCTATACCAACCAAACCAGTACTGTGTTGTGTCCAGTTATTATGCATCTTTGTGACTATTCATTTCACGTATCTTTTTATGGATTTAGTATCAATATGTTTTGAAACATTTTTCATCTTATTCTTTTCGTATCCAATATATCATTTATAGAGAATCTGCAAGTGTGTCATGAAGATCTCATCTATATTTGAGGTTTTTTTTATGAATGTCAGTATTCGTCTTTTATGACCTAAATATATTTTGACTTCCAGGACTATGATAGAGGTATTTCCATACACATTTTCACTATCATGTGACCATTATTCAGAACTGTCCGTATGTGACCTGTAGTAAAGGTGTTCGCCGCAGTTTAATGGCAATGACAAATCTTCTTTTAAAATATCAACAACTAACCGTACCATATATTCAGTATTATTGTGTCACCAGTCAGACGTGACCGTTCTCTGCCATTCATGCATTCGGGGAATTTCGTAAAATCGATAACTTAAAAGGAACAGAAGTAGACGTTTTTTCAGGAATTATACACTGGACACCATCATGAGAAGCAACACGACTCTTGCTGACACATTCTCCCTATAGATTCACAGTTCAAACACGAGTTTTGGTGAGAGAAATAATATGATCCAAGGTTTATAAGTTTCAAAGTTTTCCAAACTATACAAGCTCTGCGAGCGAACGTCATTGGTCATTGCTGTATTGCATGAATGCTTAGACTACGCAACAGCGACACATGTTGGTTGAGTGAGTGTATGTCTGTCCTTTCTCAATATCGCCAAACTCTGAACCCTTTTCCCTTCAGGCGGTAATATTTATTCCACATTTCAATACAGAAATGGTTGGTTTTCTTCCAAACAAATTAGGAATTTGTTAAGATGACTATTCATCTTCTAATTAAGAATCTCCTCCAATATTCTTAACGCCTCGATAGTAGTGGTAAATCTTGGATTTCTCGCCTCGGCTCTTAGCAATCATTTTCTAACTAACTTTCAGACGCTGAGATATGCCAAAACACCTAAAATTACCATTTATGTAGTACAAGTGTGTAGACTGGTATTAATCCCGAATGAAAAGCAGAGGAAGGGAGAGAGAGGGTTTGCTCGATGCAGCTCATCCCACCTTCCGGCATCCGTCTGGAAACATTAGTGAAAACCGTCACCCTAATGCGGCCATTCAGCCTAATCTGTACCAAGAATGTGTTGACGAAATGTTGATTAATGAACAAGTGAGAACCAAATACCTCAGGAGCACACAAGACCAATTGGCTAATGACTACGTCTTTATCAACTCGACGTTGTTACGATATATATAGGAATGTTTTAACATGGGATTCCCTACTCATATGAAAGAAGCTTGTCACTAGTGATCAGACACTCTCAATCTTTTGTCAGAATTAACGTTGGTAACATTTGATGAGTAGACTACCCTTCTCAACCTTTCCCCCTCGTCCCTCTACAACCCTCCCTACCCACAACCCTCCCCTGGCCAAGCCCCTCCCCAACTCCTGTCATTTTGAACCTACCTTCCTGCCAATACAAAGTGTCTGGACATGTCACTCTGGACACTCGAGAAACTCGAGAAGGAGTTTCCAGTTGTGTAGACAGTTCTTTTTAAATTGTGTCATATCACTTTTTAACATTTCTATAGTCATCTCATTACAGGTTGAATGAAGATGCTGATGATTAAAATAGCGTGTATTGGTAGCGAATTGAAGATTTCTATTTTATCTTAATGGCAAAGGCTTTGCTGATTTTATCACAGACAATTTTGTGTTCAGGGTTCCAACACAATTTTGATTAATTCCCTCTTGGTTTAGTCATTGTTCCCGCTCGTGTTCTCATTTGTTATTCTATGTTTGAATGCACGTTGAATGTTCCTTGCAAATATGTCTGGGACAAATTGCCTGATATGAAATCCTCATTTACTACACAATGATATGACCTTATGACGTCTCAGCAAGAAAGGTATAGTATCCGCCTGAAAGCTATAAATACAGTTTGGAATTAGGCCTTTTGTTTTGAGATGAGGTTTCGATGGGCCATGGAAAAAAATCGTAAAAAAAATATAAACATAAAGAAATGTGTTCTTATTTATGGTCCTCAGCTAAAAAAATTAACGAAAGAAAGGATAACCAAATGAATGAATTATCAACGTATTTTTTTATGAAATTAAATTTGAAACAATTACCTCAAGAAATAATTTTATTTTCAATTGTGATGTTTTTGTTGTGCACTTAGCGCACTTAATTTGAACACCATTGATTTATTTTCCGTTTCCTTTCAAAGCGGTGATTATAGCATCTTGAGGGTGTGGTGAATATATGGTTGTTTATAACGATAGCTATCTACTCAGTACGTCATACATTATCCCCGAGAAGTGCACATGGTTCAGAGACAAGCAGCTTGCCTTTCCTGTTTCAGATGCTTATACTAAGACAAAACAAACTGTGTTCACGGATACTTAGAAATAAAACAACAGGGACTAGTCAAGCCTAACGAATAAGCTCAAGACAAGTCAATACGGACGATGAAATAGTTACACCCTTTTCTGATTATGCATACCACGGGGACATGGTCCCGGCGTTGTTTTCTGTTCATAAAGCCAACATTTTGAAAGCACGGTCTGTTTGCTCCTTCTCATAAGCGACCATAAAGAACTCATCGAAATTACCTCATTCCGACCGTGTACAGCGACACCCCCCACTTAAGGCCGTTATGTATACGCTTATGAATTGATTGCTGGTGATAAAGTGTATATCTTATGGTTGGCAATAAATTTGCGCGGACCCGTGGCTATTAAAAGGGCCATAACAGATCGCGGCTTTACCAAGAGGGTTAATTAAGCTAGCCGTGCCACCATTTGCATACATCCAGCATCGTCAGACAGTACCCGACCTTTTGACATCGTCAGATCTAATCGGTCAAGGGGCGATTTCTTGGGATAAATAAATGCATGATTAATGACCAAGAGATCATAGTCGGTGGTCATATTTGTGAGGGGGTCAGACATTTGGACATAGCAATGAGACAAGGGAGGGAGGGGGCAGAGGGGTACGAAGGTTAATCGCTTATCAAGAAAACATATACATAGAAATGAAATAACAATGATGTGTTTATTAACCGATGACCTTATTGGCATGGGGATGTCGTCAGTATTAATGTCGATGGAGGCGTGATACCACGGGTGACGATGTCGGAATGATGTTAATTAGTCTTTGTGTGACACGACTTGACACTGTAGTCACACATTTAGGAGACGTTGAAGTAATTGACAAACACTGAGAATATATTAATGGACTGTTGTATGTATTGGGGATGTATTTGATTGTTACATTAAATAAGGTACATGACGACGTCACGAGCTGTTACCTATGTGAACCAATTCCATGAGTACAGTAGCTCATGGAAACAGTAGCTAACAATAGTTAAGATGGCTTCCTTATACTTGTAAAGGTGCTTCTTGAATTTGGATTAAGTTTAAAGGAATTAAAAAAATTTAATTTTTTTAAACTCACTTACTTGTTTGGTTTCACACTGGGAGGTAGAGAAACTTCATCTCGTTGGACCATGGATAAAATTCCATGTGAAACATATAATTTGAGAGTGAGATTTAATCCGGAGTCCGTTGATTAGTTGCCCCCGCGCTGATTAACCCCGAATGGATGACGGTATTCAGGCCGCTTAACCGAAAGATTTAAATGTTTTAAGCAGTTATTGATGAGAAGATATTCTCATCATTCTGCTCTCGTCCAAACGTAAGATTGGTTAATTATATTCAGTGGACACATGTGATTATCTTTTAGAATTTCAGAATGTTTAAGTGAAAGTACGCACTGTGGTATAGAAACTGTAAATGTGATAATAGCCTCAGACCAGCTCCTGTACTCTTAACTTTACACCCGC